TATGTATTTAAATATACAATATTTTCTTGTGTAAATAATGTTGTTGCTATTCTCTATGATTTTTAAATGCATAAGGTGAAACCAGCTTTACTAATATTTTGAAACATAACACCTGTTACTGTTTTAGAGGACAGCAGAGTGTCCTGCAGGAGGGATGGTGCTGAAGCAGTCCTGTGCAGAGCAGAGCCTTGAGACAAGCTAGTCGTGCTGTTCTGGGTGCTGCTGCCAGTCTGCAGTAGGGCACAAGTAGAGGTCGTGAGGTACCTTTTCAAAACAGGAATTGAAGGAATGTGGTCTGCACGCTAAAAGGGAAAGCAATCAAGTCATGCGATTTCAAGCCAGAAGCTGTCTGCAAAGTTCTCAAAAGTTCAGTAAGTGCAAAGATGACTAAAAAGTTTACAATCAAGTTGGATCAGAGAAGAGCAGAGGTTGTGAGGGGATTGTACAAGACCTGACAGAATAGTTTGGCTGGACAGGTTTGCCCCATCTGTCACTACATGTGCTTTCAGAGGGTGGCTGAAGTTGTTCGGTACTCCCTTTTTCCACTTAGTGGTTGATGTTTTAAGGTTTTAATTTTCTAAGGGATCTAAAGGCTGTAAACTGACTAATGTTATGGTCCTGGGACTAGTGCCAAATCGTAGTGATGAAACGGATTTTTACAGCTTTTGTGATCAACTTTATTGTATGTCTAATGACAAAGATAAGATTAGAATTTTTCCTTGTTGTGACTTTCCATTTTCATTTTCCATAGCTAATGGAGATTCAGCATCAACAAAGTTTTGTCTGGCAAAGGCAATTCCTGTTGAAAAAGTAGATCTGTGCTCAGATATTTCATAATATCCTTGCTACTGTTGATATTACTATCACTGATTTTATATCATAGGAGTTCAGAAAGGAGGCGATCAAATTTGTGTTTCACAGAATCACAGACTGGTTGAGGTTGGAAGGGACCTCTAGAGGTGCAATATACCTGTTCAAGAAGGGGGCTTAAAAAGCAAGGTAAGAGATTAGGCAGACATTATTAGAGATTTAGACAAGGAAGCATCAATTTCAGTAAATGCCCAGATCTCCAAACTGGTGTCCATGAAACTGACACATCTCCCTTATTGCTGCAGTGTGCAGAACATGAATCTGGGAAGTTGAACCACATTATCCACCACTCCAATTATATCATCAAATGCTGCCATATTGCTCTGCAATCATTATTTCAAACAAGTCTAACCAAGGGATTACTTGGCTGTTTCTACAGCACCTTGACAATGTGTCTGTTTCCCTTCCCCAGGCTTCATATGGTTCATATGCTTAGCAGGGCCAGAACATCCCTGCTGTTGGAGAGCCTCCACACCTGGAGCATCTGCTGTCTTTGGCTCCTTCCAGATATATCAACTTCTTCCTATCTTGTTTTCATTTCCAGTACTTTGGCATCTAATTTCCCATATGCTGCTCATACTTTCTCCTGCTGTTTCTGTGAGCTCATCTACACGGATGAGTTGACACAGTTCAACACGTTGGTGAAGCCGTGGGAATTCTGCAGGCCCTTAGTGATGAAAGTGTCAACTTAAACTTCCTTGATTAAACCCCCTTCATGACATAGCTGTAAATGGGTGGGATGGGCAGATGAAAGCTTGCTCTGTCTACACACCTGCTCTGCTCTAGAAGGTGTTCTCTAGATTTTATAGTCCATCTTTCAGTAAAGTGCAGTTACTTAATATGCCTGGCCTCTTTCCAGCAGGGGTAACGCACAAGCCAGGAAACTCCCATTGGTTTCTTGTTTCTTTAGCACCTCTGAATCTTCAGAAATGCCAGATATGATAAGACTTTTATGTTCAAGCTGTAAACAAAAGACTAAATAGGAAGATGTGTACAGGATTAAAAACAGTTAATAATGATGGTACTGTTGTACAAATTAATTTTCCATTCTCGGCAAAAATATATTGTGCAAATTCACATCAGGCCTTTGAGTAGGTGGAATGATTCAGGACCTGTATGTAGGAGCATGGAGTTTTTCCCCAACCCCTCCTGCAGCAAGTGGGATGTGGCCAGCTAAGCCAGCCACCTGCCAAGTTGTATTGCTGTGGAGGTTCTGTGTTCCGCACCATGGCAATGCCAGTTGTTGAGCTGTTGCTGTTCAGGTTAGCAAGATGTAAAACCACCCTGATCTTTTATCACCCAAAGCTGAAATGTGAAGGATGGCTTCATCTCTTTTCCTCGTTGTTGTAGTGTATATATTCAAAGTGTGTGTCAGAAGAGCAGGCTGTCTTGAAGAGCTTTATGACTGTATTTACAGGTAGTTTGCAAAAGGAGGGAGACATAAAACAAATCAGAAGACTTTTAAGTTGAGTGGGATGATTTTGTTCAAATCAATGTGAAATTTGAATTAGCATTAGTCCCTCAGATTTTTTTACAAGATAGTGTCTGTCCGAATGGTCCCGGTTCCTAGTTGGCACTGGCATAGTCTAGTACTAGTACATAGTAATGCAGCTGCCTGGCTTGATAAGTGGCACCGTGGCCAGCCTGCAAGTGTCCGAACCTGAAAACGTGGACTTGCTGCTTCTCACCTGAACCTTTCACCACTTCAAAAGTCAGCTGGGCGACAAGACTCTATATTCCATGTGTATATAGGCTGTAATATATTGCCATTTTTAAAATAAATGTGCTTTGTCTTATGCTTGGCAGCACGAGTCACTCTAGCTGGGGCTACAGGCAGGAGAAGGTTGTGACCGGGCTGCCCTCGGTGTGACAGCCCTGCTGCACGGGGCCGGGGACGCTGCAGCACCCTTGGCACCGTGCCCTGGTAATGCTGCACACCTAGCCCAGCCTGGGCACTCCAGTGCAGTTCCTATGCTGGAAATCACCACACTTGATGGGAATAAGCTTTAGTAATTCCTAAAGAAGCAGAGAAACAGGTTGAAGGTATAAATGAAACACGTTTTTGTGAATGTGGAGCATGTTTTATTATGAATACTTTTGTCCGTCTTAGTCCAATAATTGTAACATATAATAAACTTGTAGAGCAGAAAGAGAGGAACTTTGTTCATCCACACATACAGAAAAGGAGCATGTAAATCTGTCGAAATTGACACAATTTTGGATTTTCTTCAATATTTGTTTCCTTATTGGCTGTTGCGCTACTTGCTATTTCACTGTGCGTTATTTCAGTTGAGAGGAAAAGATTGAGGATTTCATTATCTTTAGGGACTGATTTTCTTGGACTGAGTAGTTGAACAGTGATTTCTGAAATATTGTGCTAGAACATGTTAACAAACCCTTGCAAAGCAGTGCTGGAGTGCTCTGTTTTTGTTTTCTTAAAAGTAAAAAGGTAAATGTTTGCAAGATGTTGAAAGGTACTTCTGAGTTACTCAGATTTATTAATGAGTGTTACAAGAATTATAAATTCTGTCCAAAAAGGCTGATATCCTTAGACAGAAACTTTGTTGGAGTGGACTTAATATAACAGATGGGCTGGAGCAGCCCCTTTTGCCCCGTGGGAAAGATGGTGGCAATCAAAGCTGTGATGGCAGATTATCAGCAGGATCTTTTTTGTTTTCCTTTTTTTTTTTTTTTCTTGAGAGCTAAAAAGCCTGGCATGGTCGGCTACTTCTCTGCTGCTGAAGGAGCTAACCTGGGAACCCAGGTGCATTTGAAATTGTCTGTAAGACCTGCTGGAAGAGGGGAAATTCTGCTTTTCTTTAAACATTGGGTGTTGTTGCTTTAAAAAAATACTGACTCTTTAAAGAAGAGGGAGGAAGGTGTTTGGGGGCGCTTAATTTTCAATAAAAATACTGTACATCTTCATTATATAGTCAAAAGATTAGTCTGAGGATTCTTGAATGATGAAATGTTTCAGGGTCTTTTTTTTAAATGTACAGCAACTCTTGATAGAACAACTTCATAATTTTGACATCCTCAGAAATGATCAATATTAAAATCTTTCTATACATAATCTGACTCAGTTACTTTGTGTGGCTTTGTAATTCCCTGTATTTATTTGCTTTCTAAGATACAGTACTTGCTTAAAAATGCCAAAGATACACATGTACTTTTGTCATTTTCCTTACATTTTAGAAAATAAGCTGGGACTGCATAACTTTGTCGCTAAAATTGCATTTCTTGGAGGAGCTGCAGTATTCACTGTGGTTGTGTAATATAACAACTTGACCTTTTCTGCCACATAGTTTTTTTGCTTGTCAGGAAGAAATTAAAAAGACCTGTCATCCTGTCATCCTCTTACATTAATAAGCACTTAGGGCTGCACAGGTTGGTGTAAAAAATGGGCGTATTAAAATAGGCAAACATAAGCAAATATATTTAGTAGTTATCATAATCGCAAGTGTTTTAAATTTTTTAAATTAGACTGCTATCCCATAATAAACATGAATGTCATTGCCCAGCACCCAGGCAATGGTAGCTTGACATTTGAATTTGCAAAATCTAAATTTCTCTTGCTTGTTTTCCATAGAAATGAAATATGTTGTTTATTTATGGATAAACAGTAAGCTTTATAGCTGAGAATATATAGCCAGTGAGTGCAGTAAGCAACCAGAAGGAATGTTGGGGGCAGAAGGTGCCCGTTTGTATGTATCAGGCAGTAGACATCTACGTGTCTTTACGTGATTCTTTATTCTTTGCTTTTTTAACCATGTAGAGTCAGTATGCTACACATTGCTTCTGACAACTGGCAATTTCTGATTTTTGGTGTAGGATTGGATTTTGAGAAGATTAAGAAGTGTTGAGTTGAACGTGGCTTCCTGAAGCCTTGTCTGGTGGAAGTAAATAGGAGTTTCATAGTAGGTGTTAGTGGGCCAAGACTTGACATTTATTGTTATATTCCTACCCTTAAGAAGACAAAAAAAGGTGTATCGGGAGATCAGAGACTGGTTGGATCATTTGGGTGACTAGAACAGTGCAGTACAATGTAAGTTTTGACGGGCAATCAGCAATTTAATTTAGAGAACCTTCAGAAGTGAGGACATGTTAACATTAGCATTTTAGTTCAGACAATGTCTGTCCTTCATGAATCTTCGTCTCTCCAGGATTCTCACCCTTGCTTGGATCTCAGAGCGTGTGGCCCTTTCAGACAAAATGAGCCTGGACGAGGCGTTGCAGTTACTAACGGGTGGGCAGACCATGGAGACAGGCTCAAAATCCACCTGTATGGAGATGCTAGGTCCTCAGTGCCACAGCTTTGCTCCAGAGGTCCTCTCCTGCTGCACCATGAGTTGGTTGTGTAGACACAGCCTCAACTGGCTGTACTGTTGGGGAAGAGGAGCTGAGGAAGAGAGCTGGGGGAATTTAATGCCTTGTCTTAGCCAACGGGCGAGGCGCTAACATGCAGCCATAGGTGCAGTCGTTCATGGCTGTAGGGTCTTAAGTGGCTCAAGCACTTTTGCAAGTAGTTGAGCATGTTGTCTGTCATGGATTATTGATTTGAAATAAAGGGTGTTTTTTGCTTAAAATAGAAAAATGTGGACCACTAAAATTTCTGAGTATCACACAACTTGTCATTAAGATGACAAAGGGACATTTAAAGCAATCTGCGTTTTGACCACAAAAAAAAAAGAAGTGAGTTTTGACATTTTTGATGTGTGAAAGCCTATAGGCTGCTAGGTATTTGAGGGCTTGGATATTCAGTATTTCAGTCAGCACAAGATTAATAGAACAAGATGAAAAGTGCTTCTGCAGCATCAACAAAACTATTCATGTGTTTTCTTGAAGGTTTATTTAACTCTCCCTGAGAACATAGGCACAGTATTGTGTTCATTTGATTTCTGTGAAAAGTGGTAGAAGGCTTCCTCTTTTTTCCCTTTTAATTTTGCTCAGTTGATTTATTTATGAGTTACTGTTTGTGTGGAACAGTTGATTCATTTTGGAGAGAAGTGGAAACTTCGGTGAAACCCTGCCATGTGGTGCTAAGGCATTTCAAAGCGATCAGATTCTGGTGAAGACAAAAGTAATGGGATAGAGAAGGTTTCAGTCGCTTCAGTGGCAGTGAAATAAAATTGCAAAAGCTTAAACCCAAGAGGCTGCAAGTGTCGCTTGCGATGTATTGGATGCCATGGATTAGTTCTGTATGACCTTTAGCGGGAGTGAAAACGTATTTGGTTTTTGAGCTGTCTTTCCCTGGGCAGTACACAGAGTGCTAAAATCCTGCATGTTTTGGCAGAAGAGAGCACAAAGCAACAACTGGATTTGAAAGACGGATTTATTTAAATTAAAAAATGTAAACCCCATTTCTAGCAGAATATGATTGACCATTCAAGATGTAAACAGCCAAGGGAATGGCAGTTTGCCTCCTGATGTCTTCCAGTTCAAAACTTTAGTCAAGCACAAGTTACACCTTGGTTTTGCCTGATTTCCCAGGGTAACTGGGTGTCAGTCTGCGGCAGCACCATGCAAGAGGTCACACTTGATATTTTTATGAACGATTTCGATTTAAAATCAGAAACTATAACACAAGTCAAATTGAAATCAGCAGTGTTCGTGTTTTTGTCTCCCTCTGCTCACAGGTACTACAGTGCTACCATTTTGCAGATGTCAGGAGTTGAAGACGACAGGCTAGCAATCTGGCTGGCTGCACTGACAGCATTTATAAACTTCATTTTTACTCTCATTGGAGTCTGGCTCGTTGAAAGAATGGGTAGACGGAAACTTACACTTGGTAGTTTAACAGGTGAGTGTTTAATTATTGTGTATTCCTCATAATTATTAATAAAATGAAAATTAAATTTCAAGGGCTAATTTTACTGTAGTACTCCTCTTTAAAATGACAGTGTTGACTTTGTCTTCTCCCTGAAATCATACAGCTTTTCAAGATGGGTACTATAGTCCACAGCTAAAGGCTAATTAAAAAGTAGAGGTTTAGCATGTTACTTTTTCAAGTGCAGTTTCTCCTCAAGCTGTGTTTGACAATGTTTTCATTTAGCTTTGTATGCTTTGTTTTTTCCAGTATAAGTAATCAAATGTTTGGAACTTCACAGCTGATTAGTTTTTAAACCTCATATGCATATGTGTGATATGTAGTTTCTGGTTCATTAGTGTGAATTCAGAATATCTTATCAAGAACTACTGGAGAAAGCATATCACATAGACACTTCAGCACTTCTTAAAAACTAATGCAGTTCTTTGCATAGTTATCCCTAATACAATGCAGTAAATACCATACCTACACTAATGTGATTTAAAATCTTCTCCTGTATGAGATACTAAAAGAATTCTGGATTTGTACATTTTGTCCAAATATTCAAACACCGTAACTCCTCATGTAGCCATCTCTTGGAAGCAGGAAAAGGCAGAGCGAGCAGCCTTGCCTACGCTCAGCCGCATCCTGCCCTTTACCCGGTAAGTCCCTGCTTGCTCCTGCGTTATGTGATCGTTCTGTCTGAAGCGATCTGTGACAGCTGCCTCTGGCTGAATGTCTGAAAGGTTCAGATGTTTCCAAGCACAGGGTTTGGAAGAGGGAAACAGTTCCTGCTCCTCTTGAAATAGCGTTCACAAGTGTTTAGCTGGGAAAATTTCATGTCTCCATATTTTGTTCTGTTGTCACTCTCAGGGATCCAAACTTCTAGTTAATGCAGCACAGCAGAGTGAGGGACCACCTGCCAAGTCACTGGCCATCTGTGGTTCCCGAGGGGTGGGAGTTAATCTACATTCACCGTATCTGAATGCAGAACAGTGACAGCACCGTGTCACGTCTGGTTTCATACAGATACCCAGATCTGCAAATTAAAACATACAGTTTGGAGGCAATTTGGTATTCCAAGTTATTGTAAATGTGTATTTTGTGTGTTACCCTTTTGATTCGGAGTCAAGAATCCTGAAGAATTTCTCATGATCCAAGTTCAGAAATGTGGTCATGACAGAGGAGGTTGGGAAAGCATATTCCTTATGTCTTAAAAAAAATGAACAAAAATCTCAAATTGCTACTTTTACCACAGTTTACCTCCAGATCAGTTAAAATACATCTCCCCTATAAGTTTTTCTGTGTCTCCAGCCGGTGCCAAGTCTTTTGGAGGGGAAAGACCCACTTCTGTACCATTCCCTATGCTCAGTACCTTATTTCCCCTGTGGTACTTGTCAGTTTTCTTGTCTTTCCACAAAGTGGATCTGCACTGGCACTGCACTGTTACTTCTGGTTCTTGGCTGCTGCCTCTCCTTTATGCTCTATTGGAATCGAGTATTTATGTCTTTGGCCCCTATACCTCATACGTCCGGCCAGCCCCTCAGGAGCTTATTGCTTATGTGGACCCACCTGTATGGGTGTGATTCCCACGTGGGCTTTTCATACAGTCACAGAACTCTTTGCTTTTTGGCTCTGGTCAATGTATTCAAAGGTCATACATTTGAAATGTGGATGTAAATGTCCCTTACAAAGCATTAGTCATAGAACAGAGAATATAGAAATAAGACAGAATTAATGAAGGAGAATAATACAGTTAGGAGTTATTTGTTTATGATGTTTGGATGCAAAGTAATTGTTTGGTAAAAATATTCTTGGTCCTTCTGTGGTCAGTCTGCAGCATCACTTGATCCATGCTGCATTGCTTCCTGTGTTCTTTGTCATACGGTCCCTCCTTAAGGAAAATACAAATAATGACAGTAATGTCATCTCATCATATGTCATCTCTTTGTACTAGTTAGAATTTTTTTATGCAATATTTGACACTTAGATTTAGGTGGTGGTGGATGTGGTCTGTTTTCCTTAGCAAGAGGGCTGTTTAATAAAATGACAATTACTAAATCTGCTGGTGGTTTTTTATTTTTCATTATGAGCTTTCTCATGGGGTAAACTTATATTTTAGTGCTCTACTTTGGTTTGTGTTTCTAAGGACACTGACTTTCACACTGAGTTATTACTGGCTGCTTCTCTGGTCTTTGGAGAAGCCAGGTATGCCCCAATCTCCCGTTACATAAAATGAAGACAAAACTACTACCTTTGCCTGCTGCTGCAAGGGTGTGGGGGCTTTTTTGGTAAAGGTTAGTTGATTTGACATTTATTAGATGATAACCTACAAGAATAATCAGTAGAGAGATGGTAACATTAATATTTTGACTAAAAGCCAACCTACCGTAATTCAGTTTTGTAAACTCATGCAGCTTTTCATGCTTTCTGAAAACATTTGGGAAAGAGCTATTTTGCATTTAATTTAATGTGTCTTTATAATTTTCAAAATATTATCAACTGTTGGAATGTTGAGTCTTCCAGATAGATCCAGAAGCATTAAGGACATCACAGTAAACTGCTTCTGACAAAAAAGAAAAAAAAAGAAGAAATTGCACCTTGATTTTCTTTATTACAGTTACTGATTCCTCTTAGTTTCCCATTCATCTTATGTCTTGCAATAATTTCTTTATCTTTCTTTTGCTCTTTTTTTCCGGTTAATTTCTTTCTTCAAAGCTGTAAATTGGGACACATGCAGGAATTTTGACAAATGCAGTATCCATTTTGTTTGTGTTTTCCTTTTTCTGTTCCAGAAACTGTAAATTTGAAAGCATGGTGGTACTTGGGCATTGCACAATGTTTATTTCTTTTTGTAATGAATATAAAATAACTTCAGGATATTTTTTTTTCGTGTTAACTAGTGATATACTGTAACTGTATGTTTTTGTTCATCATAGACAAACTTCCCACAGAATGAAAATGTGTAATAAACTTAATTCCCAAAGTTTTCATAATCACTGCTTTTACAAAGGAATAAGACATTTGCAGAGGTTTTGGAGGTGAATGGTAGTGTATTTGGTTAACTTAAAAGATAGACAAAGCATATTTAAAATGAATATACATGAGATTATAGGCCCTGTCTAAAGATATTTACTGTCTGGTTTATGGCATTTTGAAGGTACAGTAAATCTCGGGCAATACCCAGCCTGCCCAGAAAACTTGGATTATTAGTGTATCTACTAGCCATAGCAGTACAAAGCCAAGTATAGAATAAACTGAAATCACATTTTATGGTGGGTATATGCTTTCTCCACATCTAGTTTGTGATTGAGTTTAAGGTCTTGGTTGCCTTGGTTCAGGTAAATGTGTGGTCCAGTCATCTCCAGTTCATGCATATTCATGCCTATTAGCCATGGCTGCTGCACAGCCACATTCATGAATAATTTTATTACACAGGTCTTAGTACTTAAGATATTATTTATAGCTCAGAAAAAGGTTTTCATATAGTTGATGGGTTTGCCTGCTAGGAAACTCTTGCTTTTCTCCTTAAAAACACCGTTAAACCCATGCCTGAAACTGCCAAAACATCCTCTCTGCCCTCCACCCACCAAAAAAACACTGAACCCCAAAATAAAAACCAGATAATGTGTAATTTCTGAAAGATTAACAGAGCGATGTGTTAAGGTTTTTAATGTAGTGGCATTTCTAAAGATTTGCACAGATACATTTCTGAGAAAATTACATGCTTCTAACATACAGAGCAAAGGGATGATGTGGAGTACTTGGAATTGAATAAAGGGCTTCATTTGCTCTCAAGCATTAAGCTCTATCATTGCATGCTTCTAAATGTATTTATGTAACAAAAAATGAGATGCCTTGTCAAGTAACAAGGTGTAAATGTTTTATAAGTCTGGGTTTGGGACAGTTGCAGTAGTATCATGAGTAGTGAAGTATATCAATTTTCATTAAAATGATAGAGCGTATTGTGTGTGTGTGATAAATAAGGTAGGGAAACTATGGGTTATGTCCTAGTAATGGCCTTTTGCACAACGTATGAAGCTTTTTTTGCCGTCTTCTCTCTTGTCATTTTGCCCAGCTTGTGTACATGGAATTTGTTGGGGGGGAGAGGAGGAAACAGATGGAAGGGGTCGTTTTTCTAGCAGGTGTGTGCTCTCTGAAACAAGATCAGAAATGGCGGTTGGGCTTTTTAGTGGTGTTTTTATTAATTTCTCTCGTTTCACAAGGGAAGTAGAGTCCTTGAAAAAGCTGATGCTGTGATCTGTTTTACAGGAAAGCCTGCAAGTCTGGGTCTGGGAGTAGGAAGAAGTGTGATGATTTCAAAACACTGTTAAATTTTACCTTTACAGCATTATTTTCAACACCAAAAAGAATATATTCATTCATTCACGCGGTCTTCCACTCCACATATTAAAAATAAAGTCTTAACCTATTAATTTAATCTCTGGACATTAAACCTGATGCACTTGACTTTGACATCTTGCCTAATTCAAGATGTCAGCGTAGCAAAGGGTATTTTTCTTAGGTTCTCATTACAACTTCGTAGTGAATGCTGTTTGCATAGTAATGGGGTGCCTTGCTTTCCCAAGCATAGTTCGGTTCAATAGAGAATTATTTCATGTGCTCTGGAGAGAAGTATTACATTGTTCTTTATCTGTATTTTTAGGTACTGCTGTAGCACTCATTATCCTAGCTTCGGGATTTTTGCTATCAGCTCAGGTCTCGCCAAGAATCACACTTAATCCACCAGATCCTTCACATCAAAACTCTACCTGCACAAAATACAGGTGAGATTTCATGATCTTTCATCCAATCTTCTTGAAGATTTTTTCCAATTAATTGAGTTTTACAACCTAGTGTAATACACAAGTATTAACAAAGTTTAGTACAAGGAACTAAGCTAGATACCCAAAGTTAAAATGATAACTTCCCTCAAAAGAGAAAATTAGACTCTTTGCTTAAATGCTCTGAATAACCCTTTGGAGTCTTGGACTAAATGAAGTGGTTAAGTAGCAGACTACACGCTTGAGATCTCCCCCGTTATGTCACACCTCCTGCAGTTTATAGTGGACACAAAGTTAGGAATACTTCAAAAGTAATTTGTAAATATGCTTGCTGTTATTGGTCTTCTTGTAGATTTGTCATGTGTAACAGCTGTAAACTCTTCAAGAAGATGTGTTCCTTGCCTTTTGTCTTCCTGTGTGGAAAAATAATCTTCAGATAATTACAGAGCAAGTAACAATTGAAACGTGATTTTTTTGACCTTTGTTTTTCTGTAGTGGGTAGAAGATGCACTTTCATATGCAATCATACATAGTTTCAAATAACATTACTTCTTGGGTATTAGAAATGTGTCATTTTCTATATTCTGTGGGTTTTATTCATGTGTGAGTGCTCTTACGTTCATTTAGCTGTCAGTCTAGAAAAATCCCTATTGAGAGAAGACTATTAGGTGGCTGAAGAAATTCTTACTTATGTTAAAAATCTGGTTTACGTGTGTTTGCAATAGAGATAAATATAAAGAAATTGAGGTATGCTTCTAGTTTCATAGCAATATTGTCTAGAAATATGGTTCATGGCTTTTCATATGCCAGCAGAATGTCTTAGGTGAAAGATTCTGAGGATCTGAATCTTTATAGACCCCTGGGAAGGGGAAAGAAGGTCTTTAAAATCATAGAATCATAGATTGGTTTGAATTGGAAGGGACCTTAAAGATCATCTCGTTCCAAACCCCTGCCATAGGCACACAAAAGATTGTAAATAGATGCTAGTAACTGCAACATTAGATACTACCAGATATGAGGATCCCTACATGCAAAAGCTCTATTTCCACTTGTTTTCTACTGCAGAGTCAACTGTATTTTGCAATTTTTCAGATATGCCTGTACAGCTTTTTCACATGGCAAGTAATCTGGTTAAAAGATGCAAAGGGGAAAGAGCTTTCAAATGCTCTCCTCTCAGGATAGGATAATATTAATAGGAGGATGACAAAAGCATTTGGCTAGGACTTAAGTTAACTATTTAGAAAGGATGACTGGGAAGCACATATGCACCATTTGCAGAATTCATTATTTGTTATCTTAAAAAGCTAGATGATTATATAACCTGAAACAGTATAAAATCTGCATAGAAGAAATATGCCTAGTCCACCTTAAGAAGTGATGAAAAATTATTCCACACAGTTTTCATTTTCCAGTTAACCACAGCTAGACAAGAAGGAAATTTAGACTTGCTGCGGCTTGCTCAGTATGCACTTCTAGGCAAAAGCATGAAAAATTGAAGCAAGTAGTTCTAGTAAAGGCATGTTGTTTCATGAATTGTTGGAATACTTTAATCTGTCATAATTTCTGTTTCTGACATGAAGTGAGCAAAAGCCGGTATGTTAGAAACTCAAAGGGGCTAGGAAAGAGAAAAAAAAGATAAAATATTTTCATTTGGGAGTATTTTGAAATAGAAGAAGCTCTCTTAGTTTAAAGATAAAAGTGAATGTGTAAGGGGGGTGTGAAATAATGAGTAATGTATGAGAAAGCTTTAAGTGCTTCTATTTTAATCTCATAGTGTGCCTTGGTAAAGAGACACAAAGCCACAGGAGTTGAAAATAATAAATGGATGCAGTTATCCACAAATCACAGAATTAGGCTACAGCACCCACTATTTAAAAGGATTAAAAAAAATTAGGCATTGATACAGTTAATAGCAACTTTGACACTTGTGTATCTAAAACTATATTTGGGATATCAATTTTCATGCTTCAAAGCATCACCAAACCCTGACCCTGCTAGAGCTGGAGGAAGAGTATTCCTTCAGCATTGTGAATATTAATGTCCAATTTGGGAGCTGGTATCAGCCACTGAGTCAGTACCAGGAAGCTTCAAAATTCCAGGTGTCTTCAGCCAAGACAGCAGTAAGTGCAAAAAATATTCCTTGCTTTCAGCGTGGATCAAGGTAAGAGAAAAAAAAAAAGGCATTTTGTCTCCAGCAGTGTCCCCAGAGGAGTTTAGTTTTGGTGTGCCTTTCTGACAAGCTCTTTCTGATGTGGAGAATATACATTAATTTATTGCTTTATCTAAATTATTTCTGGAGGGGATGACAGGTAGCCATAAATTATATTCAACTCGGAGAAGTGGCTGTTCAAGATATGAGGATCCCTGCTTCCTGTGCACGTGGTCAATAGGCTGAATGAAATTTCTAAAATTATTTTTGTCAGGAGAAAGTAGATGGTTTCTTCACCGTTCCACCTGTGTTAGAAGATGAAAATTAGTCTTCTGTACACCCCATGCAGTCCATTTTTAGATCAGTGGCAGCTGTGGCAAATCTCTACACTTGCAAAACTTTTTCATAACGTGCATGGTCCTGGAAGGAGGAAGAGGTGGGGATGGCAAAGTGGTCTTGTGCTGTTTAATCAATGTCTTGGCTTGCTTTGATGTGACTGTTGGTATCTCATATTGCTTACATTGTATCTTGTGGGCCTTTGAAGAGGTCTCAGAAAGTTTTGGAAAAGTGAAAGACAGCAGGACTTCAGAAGACCATCATGTACTGCCATCTCCCTGCACAAATGCAGCTTGTAGCCTCCCTCACCTAATGGTGGTGCAGTGCTGCTCGAGGTGAGGTACGCTTAGAGCCTAAACCTCCTTGCAGATTGGCTGTCTGAATGTGGGGGTGTTTCCTAAATATACCGTGCATTTGTCTTTGTCAAAATGTATTTATAAGCTATAAAAACATCGGTGAAATGTATTGTACTTGCAGAAGTTTCACTGATACTGTGCAGGGTAAAAATGCTTTTTAGTTTGCAAATCCCTTGGGTTAGAGTAAGCGTGGGTGTCCATTATGGAAGCCTCAGAGCTACTACAAACAGTCTGTTTGTTTGTTGTTCCCTCAGATCCTCTGCACAGGTT